GGCCCACTCGGGCAGTGCTTCTGGAAGCCTGGCCAGGCTTCTTCCTGGTCTCAGTGTTTCTGCCTTCCTTGTCACCTTTCAGCTCTTGGTGCCGCAGGATGGAGAAGCCTGGCTTCTCTCAGGCAGGACTTCAGCTACTTCTGATTCCAGTTTGATAAGGATGGAAAGGCAGAGAAAAGAGAAACACCCCCTTTTCTTCCAGGTTAAGGGTAAGAGATAACTCAGGAATCTGAGAGACCCTGGGTGCCACCAGCAACAAATATCACACGCCGCCGCCTCCTCTGCGCCTACACAGCCCTCCTGAGAGGCATCTGCACACTGTGCTGCTGGCCCCCGGGGTTCCTCCTGGGCTCCTTGGGACTCACTAGCCCTCTAGCGTTTGACCAAGGCTTGAACTCCATCCTGGGGGAAGGAGGGAAAAGACAGTTGTACCCAGTGGAACCGGAGGGCAGAAGCGTGTAGGGCACAGAGGAAAGAGGGGCACTGTCACTTCGGGGGAGATTCAAAGCTGGGGTCTCAGACCAAGTTCAGTGACCGCACAGGCACAGGTGAAGGGAGAGAGCAGAGACTCCTGCAGGGAACTGGAGGCTGCTCCAGCTGTCCTCATCGGCACCATCAAGGCCAAGGCTAAGGGTGCGGGGCCAAGCATTGAGGTGCCTTGGGGTCTTCACCCCGAGAAGCACTCTTGTTTTTCAGAGGTACCAGCCCTGGGATGACGGAAGGACAAACACCAGCATACACTCACCACACCCTCCCAGAAACTCTCACCCGAGCCCCCAAAGGGAGACCCCTCCCCAGCCTGGGAGGTGGGTGTTCTAGGCAAAGGAGGGCCTCAGATGCCCGCACTGCCACTCTGGCAGGGAGCCAGAGCTTCGAGCTGGGGGAGACACGGGGGTTCCTAAGCTGGAAGCAAGAGGTTCCGAAGGAGGTGCATTTAAGCGGGGGCTTCAGGGGCCTGGTGAGCGGGAACGCGGGGAAACTACTGGCTAAACTTCCTCCAAAAAGACTGGAAGCAACAAAGGGCTGTGCCCTGTCACTCGGAGTCCCTCCCTAACTACTGTCCAGGTTCCTGTCCAGAGAAGGCGGGCCCAGCCCTCCAGGAGCACCCCACAGTACTGGCCAGTGTTGGTGGCTGGAACACTCCACCAGACTACCCCTTGAAGTGCCCCTCGCTCTGGGACTTGGTCCCTTCCCCAAGGCCCAGGTAAAGCCTCCAGTGCAGAGGTCAGAGGACCTAGGTCAGCCCCCGCTCCCAGGGAGAGATTGCTCAACCCGCTCTCCACCCCCAGCCTTATCTCTGGCATCAACCCAGCTCTCCTGTTCCTTGGAGGGACAGACTCCTCCCTCCCCACACAGGGACAAGCGCCTCTGAGTCTGTGGGATGTCCAGCCAGGGCAGGGTGGAGGTGACACCCCACAGAAATTCTCAACACAATGGCTTCAGACCCTTCTGCTCTCAACCCAAATTGGGGGTGGATGTGGGAGGGGAGAGATAAAGAAGCGAGAGAAGCCATATCAAACACCTTAACTGTCACAGCTGGGAACAGCTTGTCCTGGACACAGAAATCAATCAACAACTAGCTCCAAAGGTGGAGGAGGCTGGAACCTACTCCGAGGCAGGTTTCAGGCAGAAGCCCTGAAGTGGTCCTCTCTCAGGTCAACATTTGCTCACCTCTTACCCCCTGCCTTAAAAAGAGCTGAGACCTCATTTGGTTGTCACTTCCTGGTCTCCAGACTGGGAGCCCGGACTGCCAGTTCTGAGGCAAGAGGACAGAAGCGGGTTGGGTACACACTTTGGAATGGGGCAAACACTGGTGGGTGGGCATGTCTGAAAAAGAAATGGGGTAGGGAGGGGGAAAGTGGGTTGACAGAAAGGCAGAAAACCCCAGAAAGTGGAAGAAAGCCTGGGGCAAAGGTGCCAACCACACAGCACAGGTCCTTGGTGAGCAGGGACCCTGTGAACTGTGGGTGTCATAAGAGCGGTTGAGAGTCACCCCAAAACCACAACTTGGGAGCAGGCTCACTTTATCACATCACACGGCCCCTCCCTAGTCCTGCAGGGTCACCAGGATCTCTGGGAAAACCAGAGAAGCCTGGGTATCCCCAGGGTTCACTGTGGGAAGAAGCAGCAGTCCTCAAGGAGTGGAGGGGCAAAGTCCAAGTTCAGAGATAAACCAGCTAATCAGTCAGTCACATGGGTGGCTCACACCAGGCAGCTGATGCCAGCGGGTCCCACACGACCCCGGCAGGGATGTTACCGCCCAGGATCCCACTGGAAGCTACATTATTGCCTCAGGGCCCTGGGATTGCCTGGGCCCCCTTGGCTTGGCTCCAGCAACCCCTCCATTTCTGGAAGAAACCCGCAGCTCAGCTCCCCCGTTCTTTGTGCCCGGTTCTTTGTTCTCTTAAAATTCAGTCCATCCTGCCGGTGGTCCCCTCCTCCACCTCAGCCTCAGAAAGGGGGCGGGGGCTGCTGCAGAGTTATTAGAAACCCAGACTGTGCAAAGAAGTTGCGCTGCAGGAGGCCCCTGCCCCCGGCCCCTCCTTGTTTACACTCCCGCGGCAGGACAGATGGTTGCTGGGGGTAAGGATGGAGACAGTCTCCCTCTATCACCCTAACCCTCTAGAAAGGGTAGGGGGCTTCACAGCAAAGAGACCCCCCCAAGGACTCCCCATTCAACAGCGCGGCTACCTGGGCACCTTGGACCCAGCGAGGGAAGTGGGAGCCCAGCAGATTATAAGGGTGGGGGTGTTGGAGGGGGAGAAGTTCTCCGACGAGCAAAGAGAAAGCATTGTATTTCCCCTCCATTTCTCCCAGGGAGAAAAGGAAAACTTCCAAAGCCCAGGCCGCAGATCTCATCGGACAAACACCAGGAACCTGGTTTGAGTTAGCAGAGAGCACCCCTCCCCCTCAGCCAGCCTCAGTGTGCTCGCTCTGCTCCCTCTCCCCCCTCGCTCACTCGCGCTCTCTCTCCCTCTCTTTCTCTGTCTCTCACACACACTCCTTTCCCAGGAAGCGGCGCCAAATCAAGCGCAGCCCTCCAGCCCGGGCTCCCGCCTAGCGCTCGCGACCGGGCCCCTACTCACCCGCGGCCGCCGGGATCCCCAGCCAGCGCGGCAGGTCCTGCGGACGCCCCACCGCGGGGGGCAGTTTTGTTCCTCCGGATGGGGGCGCTCCAGGGAGGGGGCGGAGCCTGAGACCGCGATCCAGGGCACCACGGCCCCAAGCAGGTGGTTAAAACATTAACCAGTCGCGAGCGCCGTGCTCCAGGAGCACCCGGCTGCGGGCTCCGCGCGAAGCAGTCTCCCGGATCCAAAGAGGGCCCCAGCTCGGCTGGGCCCCACCCCTTCCAGGAGCCCTGGCCTCTCGCGGCCTTGGCCTCCAAGTCCTGGGAGGCGGCGGGCGGGGCTGGGGCCTGGCGGGGCGGAGGAAGGGCTCGCGGGAGGCGGGGGAGAGAATTTGTTCCCTGGGCCGTTCCCTTCCAGGCAGCTCCTTCCCTCGGTTCTCCCCAGCTCGGTGACACTGGGCGGCGTGTACTGCGGTGTGAGTACGCGAGCGCTTGTACACGCCTCTGCCACTCCAGGCCAAGAATTCGGTTCTTATTCATGGAGAACTCGGCGCGCACACGCCCCCCTCGCCCAGACCGCGAGCTGCGCGCCGCCGATTGTTGTGCTCCTGCCCACAGCGACACACACCCCATTCCTGGGCAAGAGGGTGGACCTTGGAAACCCGCCCCTCACCCCTCCCTGAGCAGCGCCCTTCGCCAGACCCGGGAGTCTCCGTCTGGGGAGAGGAAATTGAGTCCCCGCGACGCTGCGCCGGGCTCTCTGCCACCCCTAGCGCCCCAAACCCCGCTCTTCTGGAACGCGGTGAGCGGCTCCGGTTCCCAGCACCCGAGCAGCCCCGCCGTCTCCCCACCCGCAGCCCGCCTCTCCCGGGCGGGCGCCGAAGACCGAGGGTCTCTGCGTCCTTCTCCCCAAGCAACGGCCCCCTTCCCGGCTCTTTCAATGCTCTCCGCCCCTTAGTGGGGCTCGAGCCCAGCAGGGCCTTGCGCGGCTGTCAAGGCCGGAGGGATGTGCGTCGCCTACCTTGGTCCCCAGAGCCCCGGGAGTGGGGTTGGCGCGGCTGTGCGCTCCCCTCGGTGGGCTCCGCTGGGCAGCCGGGCTGGCGGCCCATGTCAGCGCCGGCGCTGGTTTCCCTCGGGCTTTCGGGCTCTCGGGGCTGGGAGCAGCGCGGACACTCCCCTTCCAGGCTCCTCCCGCGCCCTCCCTCTAGCGCCCCTCGGCGCTGATGTCACAGCTCTGCCACAGCCAATGGCCGTCGGAGCTTCGGGCCCGGCCGCTCCGCCTCTTCTGTTCAAATCTGAAAGCCTGAGACTTTCGCAGTTCCATGTGGGGTATCCTGGGCGGGCCGAGCTTCGGAGCCTCCCACCTTTCTGCGCTCCAGCCTCGAACCCTCACTTGGGGTCCCCAGGGTCGGGAACACGTCTCCTTCCGAGGGCCAGTGCGAGGCCTTCCGAAGGTTCTTCCCCATTTTGAACAATGGCAAGAAGCCAGAAACCCCAGCAGGGGTGGCGTTTTTTTGCTCCCGCTCCCTCGGGGACCCGCTACCCACCTCCTGGCCCCCGGCCTGGCGCGCGCCGGCAGGCGGTGGATTACGTCCCAGGCTCTTACTGGAAACTGCGGACGGGGGAAGCGGCCGGCCCGAGGCCAGGCCCGGACTGAATGTAAGAAGGGTTTCGGGCGGATGACCCGTCTGTGATCCCTGTGAGGCCCTAGTCTGCGGGCTCTGCCTTCCAAATATCCACTGAGGCTAACCCTTGCTCCAGGGAAACGTTAAAGAGGACGCCGGAGTCCTAACCCAAATCCTATGAGAAAGCAGGCTTTGGGCTCTTTTTAGGGGCATAGTTTCTAGTTATGAATGATCATTACCAAAGTAATAAAGGCGTCCGGTGAAGTATTCAACAGAAGGAAGGCAAAGCCAACACAAAGTGAAAGTTCCTTTGCCATTAGCAGTTCAAAGGAAGTGGGGGGTGGACGCGCCCGGGCTCCCTTCCCCCAGCTGGCCACTGGTCCCTCGTCCCCTCTCCGGCTTCCTCTGGAAACACCGCCTTCTCACGACTGCACTTCTCCCTTTTCTTCTGCCACGTGAGAACTACCAGCTCAGGCAATCTAAAGGCACAGTCACCCCATCCTGCAGTGAGAATCGCCTCCCAAACTAGGCTGGGGTTGCAGCTCTGTGGTAGAGACATTGTTCAGCAAGCCCCACCAGCAGCCAAAAGTATCAATACTAGACATTGGGACTAGAAAGCAAGTTCAGAGCAAGTTGGGAGCCAGAAAACATGGGTTCCAAGCCTGACAGGGTTATCTCCCTGGTCTGGTCCCCCTTTGTATCCAAGGAGCAGAGATCCCTCTTCTCTCCCAGCCTGTCCTGGAGGTTGTCAAGATGAGATATTAGGTGTGGGAGGACTTTGACTATAAAGCAACCTGCAAATGGAGTAGGTGGTCTTTATGACCTGGGGTGACCAGCTCTGGAAGAGGCTGGTTGGAAGGAAGACTTGGCAGCCACTGTGGCTTGGAATTCCAGCTGTGCCTTGCACCAGCAGGTGAGTTCCACACCAGCTTCCACCTCTGTAAAACGGGAACAGCAACCCTGTCTTCCCTGCTCCAATGAGTACTTGATGAGATCCCCTAAAGAAAGCACCTGTGGTCAGCGGGGCACATGCAGGCCCTCCATGGTCCTTTCCACTGGGACATCCCTAGCTAACCCTAACCCTAACCCTAACCCTAATCCCTACTCCTGGAGTTCCAGGACCTTTTCCTCCAAATTTCAGCATGCCTTACCTGTTCCAAAACAAAACAAAACAAAACAAAACAAAAAAAAAAACTTTGCTGTTTTTTTTTTCCTGAGACATCTCCCTCTCTTTCCTTCTTTGTTAAATAAATTATTATTATTATTGGGATTGAACTCAGGGACACTCAACCACTGAGCCACATCCTCTGCCCTATTTTGTATTTTAGTTAGAGACAGGATCTCACTGAGTTGCTTAGTGCTCAGGCTGGCTTTGAACTCCTGATCCTCCTGCCTCAGCCTCCCAAGCCGCTGGGATTACAGGCCACGGTGCCCAGCAATAAATTATTTTTTCTAGGGCTCTCAGTGATTGTCCTCACTGCCCCCTCCCCCCCCCCGAATTTTTTCTTTAAAACCAACCCACCCCAGGAGCAGCTGTCCCACCCACAGTTGAGAAAGGGGGCAACTTGTTTTCTCCTAATGCATGGGAAACATAGTCACTGTGCTAAGGAGATCTTGGGGAAAGACCATTTGTCCCCAGGTTTCCTGGAGCCTTATTCAGTGTACCTGTCAGTACACCTGACGCGTGTCTTGCTTTTGGTCTTGGTTTTGCCCTTGACCTTCTCCTGCTTCTTATCACTACTGACTTTCCCTTTTTCACCTGGTGTCTTGGGTTTGGCTTCCCAACTGAGTTCCCATCAACTCAATTTAGCTCCAGGACAAAGCCTTCAGGCCCCTGTGTAATTCCTCCACCCCTATTCAAACCCTGTCTCCTTCCACAAACATTTAAGGTCCATGGAGGCTTGTCTTTGCCGACTAAGACAACAGAGCCCAATCCCTGCCCTCAGGGTGCCCACTGTACACCAGGCTGCCTGGGGGAGCTCCGCAGCTGCGTCTAGACTGCATCCTCGCACACACCCCAGGGGGAATCCGACAAAAAGAAAAGTGCTCATTTTCCCCAATCCAAAACCTGTGGATTTCTCTCCTAGAATCACTGAACATTAGTTTGCCCCAACCTTTTAGGTTAGTGCAGTCTATGGCTACTCAGAGGAAATTAACAAAACAAAGGGACGGACCTACCTTGTAATATCTGGCAAGCTCTAAGCCACAGACTTTGGAGAGGGATTTGGCGTCTTAACTGCACCTTTGGTGTAACTTGACCTATAAGCTTTTAGGCCTGGGCGTGTGTCTCTGCCTGTCACAGGCTGCTGGGGCCTGCCTTTGGGACTTGGGCGTGAGAGATCCATGCAGCTGCATGGGCCTGTCCCCTCCCACCAGCCCCAACCCATATCTCCCAGGGTTTGTTAGCCTTGGCTCCTGGGCCCCACCCCTAAGGAGGTTGGCTAGGTGATTAAGCGCACTTCTTTACACAAAAGTTGGAAGCCACCTTCCTTCTGGTGTAAGGTGTACTGTAAAGTAGGACTCTAAGCAGGTCGTTTCCCATTTTTTTTCTTCCTTTCTGTGCAGTGCTGGGGAACAAACCCAGGGCCTCACACATGCTGGGCAAGCGTCCCACCACGGAGTCACACCCCCAGCCCCCACTGACCTTCCTGAAAGGAGCTGATGTCCAGGACCCTTCCTGTGAGAAGGCTCCCATGACTTTCCCATCACTAGTCCGAGTCTCCACTCCTGCCACGGGGATGAGGCTGACATGGTCCTGGAATGGGCATCTCAGGGGGCCCCCAGGCCCCGTGTCAGCGGTTTGGAGGTAGAGACTTGGTGACCTAAGTCTGGGCCGTGGCTCAGGGACCTGGCCCTGGCTAATCCACACCCTTGTCTTCAAGGCGGAGGCTTTTTTCCACTCCTTGGCCCCCTGTCCTTGGGAACCACCTGGAGCCCTTCCACAGGACTGGGCTGACCTCTGCTGAGCAACTGGGAAGATCCCAAGGATACCAAGCCCCAGGCACTCTGCCCGGGGCTCTGGGCAAGGCCTGCCCCCTCCCCAGCCCATCCCCTGTGGCAGAAAGTACCCACTCCCAGAGGCTCCTTGGAGGCAGGATGGTGTCCGATTTGCACTGGACTCTTCAGTGGAGACAACACAGTACAGTACAGGTGCCTGAAGAAGGACGGGCAGGGTCCAGAGCCCACCTCCCTCCTAAATTCTGTTTGCAACCTGAGCCTCAGACAGAGCTTTGTCCCAAATGCAGCACCCTCGAGCTTGCAGTGCAGATGGGCCTGGAGGTCATGGAGGCCACTTGCTGTCTCAGAAGACCCTTGGCCTGAAGAGATGCTGTTCATCCAGACCTCCAAAGCCCAGAGCTTCACCCACCAGTGACCCCTGGGAAAAGTGGGAGAGCCCCGCCCTGCTCCTCAGCAGAGGCCTCCTCCTGGTGCTGCAGGGGTCTGTAAGTGCAGAATGGGAACATAGGCCAGTGATCCTGGGTTTGAATCCTGTCATTGTATGACCTGAGGGAAGTCACTTGCATTCCCCGCCCCCCCACCTTGGGCCTAGTTTCCTCATGTATTTAACGGGGACCACATAGGCACTTACCTCATAGCATTGGTGTAAATGGGCAATGCAGGACAGAGCTAGGGTCACACCGAGGGCTCACCCCTTGGATGCCAGCCAGTCTCAAAGCCAAGGGCCCAAGTTGAAGCTTCTGGAGCAAGTTTGGTCCCTAGTGTCCACCTTGCACAGAACGTGCCCAACCCTGTTGGTGCTTCCCAGAATTGAGCTAACAGAAAAACATGAACGGTATTATCTGCAGGAGGCAGAAGCAGGCCTGCTGTGTGTGTGCGCTCTGCTCTACTCTGAGTCTCATGTATGCGAGACTAGCGCTCTACCAGTGAGGGACGTACCCAGCACTGAGGCCTGGGCTTCTGATAAGGTCTCCAGTGGGCTTCCCCAGATGG